GAGAGCACAGGGCAGGGAAGAGAAAGTTGAGCAGAAAATCAGGTAGAGAAAAGGGATTAGAGTGGCACTTGGGGATGGCGAGGGGCTAATTTGTTACACACCTGTCAAAAAGTTTGTGCCCCACTGGTTTAGCAGATTTGCCCAATTGTGCTATGTATTCATTTCCATTTTATTTTCTTTATCTACCAATCTAGATATAGCAAAGGGCACTGACTGGGCAATTCATACTCAATGACATCCAAATCTAATGAGAGTTAAATCCATCTCACATTTTCTAATAAAACATTTTCAGTTGAGTGTCAGAAAATCCCATTTGTGAGCCAAGGTTTTTATTTCAGACTTTATATACATTATAAGCACTTACATCCTGCACAGCATTTCCAATTCCGTATTTTTATAACCAATCATATTGCTGACTTCGCCACTATGAATCAATTTTGTACTGATCATGAGCTAAGCATGCACCAGTGCCCATATATAATTAGCACCGTACCTAGACTCCTGGCGGCCCTGGATGAACTTTTAGTTTTGGGCCCCCCTTTGCCAGAGATAATGATAATAATAATCAAACAACAGAAAAAAAAAATTACAATCTGTCTGAGCCCTGGGCAGACACCTGGTTCACCCATGCCTGCGTCCAGGTCTGTATAGAATCAAACCTCTTTTCGTGGCATGCAACTTACATAGTGCTGACTTGTGAATTTATTTGCAGAATTCCTCCTCACCTTTGATGTCTGTTGTACCAAATTTGTACTGTCCTACTTGTTTTCTTTATCAAGTGTATCAGTTTTGTACTAGTCCTGTCCATCTCAGGATGTTCTTGAATAGATTCCAAATGTTTTGAGATATCCTGTGGCCAGTCCTGCCAAAAAGCCTTCGCTCACTTGTTAGGACACTATGTCTAGCTTTTAGAGGGATTCACCATTATATTGTAAAATTGTTGTGCTGTTGGTTAAAGAAATTCAAAAGATTCAACAAAAGTGTATAATAGACTTCAAACAAAGCATGTTACAAGCAATGAAAAAAAAAGAAACGGAGAATGTAGGCCACAAGGCAGGCCTGAAGCAGTAGGAATTACAAGATACAGTACTGAAATTTGGTGAAAGGTGATACGATACTCCAAAACATTTGGGCTGTATTCAAGAACATCTTGAGCTATGTGGGATTAGTAGAAAGTGATACACTAGATACAAAAAGCAAATAGGATGGTATGAACTAGCCTGGTGCAATAAGTATGAAAGATCTGCGGGAATGCTGTCAGTCAGTCAGTCCTGAGGCAGCGCTGCCTGTTGGGGCACCTTTGATGTAGCAATAACTTTCCTCCATTCTTCCTGGTCTTTTGCAATCCTTGTAGAATCAGTCTATTTTAATCCCATCCAGTGTTTGACGCTGGTGGTCCAGCACATCCTATGTCTTCCTCCTCCTCTTCGTCCGTCCACAGAACACTGGAGGATGGTATTAGTAAGGGTCTTCTTATTATAGGTCCAAACTACTGCATCTTTTTTATGATCTTTCTTATGATTGCTAGTTGTTCAATGGCTATTTTGTTTTTACTTCTTTTTCTGATGTAGCATCTTCTGTGATGGTTCCTCCAAGGTATTTAAAGTGTGTTTAATGCTGTAAATAGTCTTTAATCAGCAAAAAGGAAAGCATGTGGCACAAAAAGGTTATGCAGGGGCAATGATGCCTGCTTAGTGTGTGATCAGTAGCATAATTGTTTCATAGATCAGCAATATGACTGATTACAGAAGCATGGAATTAGGAACACTGGGGCTAGGAACACTTAGTGCATCTGTTCCCAGACAAACTGTGCATATTTGGTCTCAAATAAAAACATCCTGGGATTGGCATGTACGTGCATCACCCTTTGAATTGGGGTTTAGAGAGCAGCTAAATGCGCTGCCACTTTTCTGCCATTGATTCAATACAGGTTTCCCTCGATTTATGCAGGTGCACCGTGCCCTGAACCCCCGGGTTCTCTGCTGGTCCCCACTCACCCCAGCTCCTGCTGCAGCTGTCCCGGGAGTGGCTGATGACAGCTCCTTGCAGCCGCTGGGCTGCACTGGACCCTTGTGAAGGCAGCTGGTGTCGGCTGCTCCCAGGGCTGCTCCAGCATGGGCTGGGTTGAGTGCAGACAAGCAGAGCCCTGGGTGGTGCAGGGGTGAGTGCCCTTCTCCAGGAATGCATGTATCACATAAATTGAGGGAAACCTGTAATGTAATCAGGGATGGATCCAGGGGACAATGCACTGATAAACTTGTATCCCCTTCCCCGCTTTTTGATTTCTGCTCCACCCCAAATTTAAATCCAATTGCTTGACAGTGGCAGCAGCATTTCTACTGAGGCAGCAGTGAGGGAGTATCATGACTTCATGGTTTATAATCTTCCTCAGCTCCTCATTCCACAGGTATTAACAATCCTCTCTTCTTTTTAATGGTCCTGATGCTCCAACAATCAAGCTAGCCTGTGCTGTCTCATTAGCTGCTCCTGGTAAAGAAGCTCCTATTTCACATCCCTGCAGGCTGTTTGTAACTCATCCCAAGGAAGGTTCTATTGCAGGGGTTGGCAGCCTTTTTGGACAGAGTCCCCAAAACCCCTACCTTGACTTGTAAGATGTTGGCATGCCAGGAGTGGACAGCAAGGGAACCACAAAGGGCCCAATCCTTGTTGTGGCAGTGCAGCCCCAACCCTTTCGCCACCATCCACCCTAGGGTTGCCAACCCTCCAGGATTGCCCTGGAGCCTCCAGGAATTAGATAAAAATCTCTGGGAGACTGCTGAGAGTCACCTGGGAGATAAATGATAGGGCATTCATTAAAATAAATATTGCACGTTGAATCCGATTTATATAGTATTCCAGTGGGTTTTGAAAATGTAATAGTAATGTGCATTTGCTTTCCTGAGGTAATGACTCATGAACGCCATAAACCTCCCAGAATACTTTCAAACAGAGTCGGTAACCCTTATCCACCCTGAGGTGCATGTGCCAAGCAAAATGCCTTCACACACCATGCTCTGGCACCTGGCATGCAGGGGGTTGCCCCATTCTATTGGGTTGGGCTTGAATCTTAACCTGTGTGATGCAGCCCTAGGCCAAGTTTATTTTTAACTGGAGAAAAACAGGGGTTGTATTAAATGGGCTGATATCGCCAGCCATCTGCACCCCGTTGTCAAAATCCTGCAGCCGCCCACAGGTGCAATCCTGGGACAGCTGCTCAGACACACTTTGCCACGTCCTGGGATAAGTCACGGGTGCTTCTTTTAGAGCAGCAGTCTCCCTTTGCGCGAAGAAGGGTGTTTGTACCCCAAAGCTTGCAAAGAACTTCCCCCCCCCCCC